ATTTTTCTGTATTCCTCAATTAAATTTAATTCATTAATTTTAAAAATTGGTATCTACTACACCCAAAAACACAGAATAGAAATTCAAGAATGAGTAAGACAAAATGCTTATCTACAAGTTGTTAATTTAGAATGGGCAATTAAAGAAAATAAACTATGCAAAATAATATAAGTAGAATAGTATACATATTACAAGAGAAGGGTAAACAAAATTATATACATATTCAACATTGGGAGAGATTATATTTTGCTGGAAAGAAAGAAGTATGAAGAAGGAGAAGGATGGAGAAGAAGTAAATACAAAGGAGAAGAAAGAAGACAAAAATGTAGTATTTGTGAAGGGCCTTAAATAAGACATAAAGTTTTGAAACGCAGGGATAGTGACTGAAGGAAGATTACACAGTATGTGTAGACCAAAATAAAGATGTGAGAGAAGGAAAGTGGAAGTGACCCAAGAAGCACTGCTGCAGCTTGGCTAGAGCATAACATGTGTCAGAGAGTTTTAGAAATGCACACAATGAGAGCGAGCTTTACTGGACCATATTTTGGAGGGTCTTAAACACAGGCCTCAGGATTTTGTACTTAATCTGTTGGGAGATAGAATGCTGTTCACGGTTTTAGTGCAGGGGGTTATGTTTTAGGAATATGTAGAATATGTATCTGGCAGTGTTTGTGGAATTGACTAGAGGGGGAATAGGCTAGAAGTGCGTGGGTACAATTGGAGGCTATTGCAGAAGTTCCCTGCATATGCCTACTGAAGTCATGAGGTGGGTATAGACAAAGATAGGAATAAGGGAATAAGCATTTCAGGGAGAGGATGTTTCTTGTTAGCTGCTGTCTACTGTGACCCTGATTCATGGCAATCCCATATACATCTGGATTAAACCATTATGATCCATAGGGTTTTCACTGGCTGTTGTTTGGAAGTAGATCACCAGACCTTTCTTCCTAGTCCATCTTAGTCTGGAAGCTCTGCTGAAGCATGTTCAACATCATAAGAACATGCAAACCTCCACTGACATACGTGTGGTGATTGTGCATGAGGAGTATTGACCAGAAGCAAACTTGGGTCTCCTCATGGAAAGTGAGAATTCTACCAATGAACCACCACCAGGGATAGGACATTCAGACTTAATTAACTGATTGCAAACAAAGGTCAAGAGAGGGTGGAAAATCAAAACATAAAAAACCTGGAAAGAACTAGAAGGATATTCTACTGCAGGGAGTTTCAAAATGTGGTCCATGGAACTTGGAGGTGTTGTGCAGATGCCCCATGTGCTCCTAAAGGGGAGTGGAGGCTCTAGATCTTCCCACACTCCCAATATGCTACAATCAGGCTGGCATAATACAAATGGCAATCGACAATAGATAAATACTGTGGTACATACAGTGGGACACTGTTCAGTAGTAAAAAGGAATGAAGTATTGATAACCATACCAACTTGGATGATTTTCAAATAATTATACTGATGAAAGAAGCCAGGCCCTCCCTCCAACAAAAGAGTACAAAAGATGGTTTGGGGAAGATTGGGAGAAAACTTTTGAGAGTAACGAATACGTTCATTATCTTGATTGTGGTGATGGCTTCCCATTATCTTGATTGTGGTGATGGTTTTTGACATACACATGACAAAACAAATTGTGTACTTTATGTTCGGTGTATTGATACCAATTATACCTTAATAAATTTTTTTTTTTAATACAGCCGCCATGAGACCTAGTAATCTCACTCCTAGATATCTACTCAAGAGAAATGAAAATATCTTCACACAAAAATCTGTACATCAATGCCTGTAGCAACTTCATTCATAATCCTCTCAAATTGGAAGTCATCCAAATACCCTTTAACTGGTAAATGGATAAATCAAATGTGATACAGCCATACAGTGGAAAGCTAGTCAGTGGTAAAAGAAATGAAGCAACTAAGAACAATAACAATTGATTCATGTAACAAAATAAATGAATTTTAAAAGCATTTTGCTGATTAAAAAAAAGGTATTTATATGATACTCTGGAAAAGGTAAAATTACAGAAAGGAAAAGAGATCAGTGGTTACCAGGAATTGTGCGGAGAAGTGAGAGGTTGTCTATACAGAGGTGGTGTAGTGGTTAAAGAGCTCAGGAAACCGCGTGGGGCAGCTCTACTTTATTCTATAGCGTCACTTAGAGTCAGAATCTACTTGACAGCAATGGTGTTTTTTAATATTTAGGGGTAGCATGGGGTAACCTTTGGGGCGATGAAACTGTTTTGTATGGAACTGTAGTGGTGGACATATGACTCTATGCATTTGTCAGAATTCTTAGAAATACAACAAAAAGTGCTCTTTGTAAATTTTTTTTAAATCACAAATAATTACAGAAAAAGTTTTACTCATCTTAACACAGTGAAAGTACAAACAGAATGATGAAAACAATACTAAGCTTCTAATAGGGCATGAAACATGGAGGACAATTCACAAAAGATAAATACATATTTTGTCTTCCTAACTTAACCCTGGGAACCTTTCGGAAGAAAAGGATCATAAACTTACAGAAAACGTCTGCAATAATAAAAAATATGTAAATGATGAAACATACATACAATGGAATATCATGTCTTTATTAAACTAATGATTATTAAGAACTTGTTTAAATTTGGAAAAATGCTTCTAACATTTGAAATATATGACTATATTTACAGTATGGAGAGTGACAACGGTCCTGGCTGCTGCCTGTGAATCACTGCAGCCTCCGGTCACCTCACCGCCCACACATACACATTAACAAAGAAATGAAGATCGTTCCATCAAAGCCTGGTCGAGTGGAGGCTCTTCATCTACAGTCTGACAAGAAGAGAGCTCCTGGGGCACACCGGCAAGGGCTGGGGTCCACGAAATGCCATTTTCTCAGAATCACCTGCTCTCATTCTGGGTGATGCCTCAGTAAATGTTCTGCTTGGGAGACTAGACTCTCTCTATCCCACAATGAATGGCTGACTCAAGCAGAGAGGGCTATGGATGAATGTCAGTGGTGTGAGTGGCAGCAGCAGCAGAAGAGGACATGCTGTGCAGACCCAGAGGGAGATGGCACTTCCTGGACTGACAGTGTAAGGGAGGGAAACAGGTTTGATCTTGCTCTTTTACCTAGTCTTCTGTGGATTCCTAGCTGTACTTCTCTCATTCAAAATGTGGGCTATGCTTCAGACTCTGAACCTTGTGGTTTCAAAATACAGTGACCAGATTCCTAGTCCAGGATTTATGGTTTTTCTAAAACCAGTTACTGCAATGATATGTCTGATTCAAGTTCTAAAGATATACTAGATGAACAGAAGAAGTTCACAATCTGTCCTGATGGAGAACTTTTTGAACAGAAGGGCCCAATCTATAATGCGTGTCAGTTTCCTGATACCCTACTTGAAGCATTCAGTTGTATGATACTGATTTTGCCTTTTCCAAAGGAAACCCGCATATTCTTGTGAAAATGAAGGGAATAATTGGATTGAAGCCTTGAGAAAAACAACCATGTGGGCTTTGAAGAAAGAATACAAGACAGCTATAATAACTAATCCTCACCATGGAGATAATGCCTGAAACTATTTTTCATATTGTGGGGGGAAATTGCATGCAGGGTATCTACAGACAGCTGTTGCCGTCCACATAATCTTTGATCTTAACACCAATTCAAGGAAAAAAAACAAGTAGAGTGCAGATTGTTGGATCTCCTGAACTAAAAGACCAGGATGATGGTGACAAGTTCTTGGGATGAGTTATGTTCAAAATCACAGTGAATGCATAGTATGAGTAGGATGCTTCCACAGAGTAAGTGTCTATTTTTTTGTCTCAGCTGTACCTGCCATTCCAGAATGAGACCACCTTGGAGAAAGTTGAGGTGGTAAATGACACTGGGGTAACATCATAATGTGTTTTCAAATCAATGTTCTCTAAAGTAGCTGCCAGTTGCCTCTGCTGCTCTTTGAACCAGTGTACAGACACCATATCAGGGACTGATGAACACCTGAGTCACAACATGTAGAATGTGGATCTTGTCCTATTTTCATGTAGTTGAATTACCAAGTGTCTAAAGGTTAATGTGCTGTGCTAGGTAAATATTTTACGGAGTTAGAACTGATTATCATATTTTGATGTCAACGTGGTTTTAGCAATAAAAAGACAAAAGAATCAATGATACCTGAACAACATTAAGTGATTTTATAAAGCTGCAAAAAAATTTTTTTTTGGTGTATGGAGATACTTGAATTTCTGTGAGGAAGAAAAAATGAAATAAAGTTGGATTTGAAAAGTGTTACCTTTAATTTTTATAAAATTATTTTTTACATGCTGAGTTAGTCTATGAATCTTCTTATTGACAGCACAAATTTTTTGATGTAAAATAAGTGAAAAAGGTGTACAAATGGGATTATTTTTTGTGCTGGAATGAGATTTTACAAATTAAAATTTTAGATCATAATGCAACATAGCATTTTTAGTTTAGCTGGTAGTATTATGAACTTAAATTTTCATGTACTTAAATTCATCAAATTAAATTGTATAATAGTTCATGAAACATCCTGTCACTATTTTCATGTAGAACAGTGTGGACACTAATTAAAAATATAAATTTTGAAATATTTTAAAGATACTATAAACCAAAAACCAAACCTGTTGCCACCACATCGATTCTGACTCATAGCAACCCTGTAGATACTACAGCAAATATTATCTATATGCATGTATATATAGTTAGAGAATATATAATTGTGCATAAAAAAACAAAAACGATATTTGTTGCTGTTGAGTCGATTCCGACTCACAGCGACCCCATAGTACAGAGTAGAACTGCCCCATAGAGTTCCAAGGAGCACCTGGTAGATTCAAGCTGCCGACCTTTTGGTTAGCAGCCGTAGCACTTACCCACTATGCCACCAGGATTTCCATAATCATGGAAAGGCTTCTTTAATATAAATATTTAACAAAAAACATATATTGCATTTGTCATTGTAAACAAATAAACTAAAAATAATAATGGTCACAAGAAAAAGGTAAAATCTACATTTATTCAAGTCTCCTTCTGCTTACTCAGTTCAACAAATCTAACCTCTGAGAGACTGCTAGAAAGGGAGCCGGGAACTTACATACCTGCTCTTCAGTTTATGCATAGCTGATTTTACCTCTTTGTTTCTCAATGTGTAGATAATGGGGTTCAATATAGGTGTGAAAACCGTAGAGAACACAGAAAGGACCTTATCGACTGGGAAGTTGCTGAAAGGCCAGGCATAGATGAAGATGCAGGGCCCAAAGAAGAGGGTCACCACAGTGATGTGGGCCGTCAGGGTGCTGCGGGCCTTGGCCATACCCATTGAAGACTGACGTCGCACAGTGGCCAGGATGACCATGTAGGAGATGAGCAAGAGCAAGAATGAAGTTACCCCTGTTAGACCACTGTCCAAAAGCATCAACACTTCAGGGACATAAGTATCTGTACAGGCAAGTTTGATGACCAAAGTAAGGTCACAATAATAACTATCCACTACATTAGGGCCACAGAAAGGTAAGTTCACAGTGAAAGCCAACTGGCTCAGAGAGTGCATAACCCCAATGAACCAAGATCCGACAACTAGGCCTGTACATTTGCGCAAGTTCATGATGGTCAGATAATGGAGAGGTTTGCATATGGCTACGTACCTGTCGTATGCCATGGCTACAAGAAGCATCATTTCTCCACCAGCAAAGACATGGAGTAAGAATATCTGGGCCATGCAGCCCTCAAAGGAGATGGTCTTGTGTTCATGAAGGAAATCATGGATCATTTTGGGAGTTCCATAAGTGGCCAGAAACACATCAAGAACAGAAAGGTTACTGAGCATGATGTACATGGATGTGTGCAGGGCAGGTTCAGAAATTACTGTGAGGACAATGAGGAGATTTCCCAGCAAAATGGTGACATACAAGAAGTTAAAAAACACAAAGAAGAAATACTGGGGCTCCCAGGAACTGGAGAGTCCCAGCAACACAAACTCAGTCACCCGAGAATAATTTCTCTGGTCCATAGTCTCAAGCTACAAGAGAAGTACCTAAAAGAGATATATTGATTATTATCAACAGCAAGAAAAGTAAAGTACGATTCTTAAGAATCCTACTTAACATTAATTTAAAATGCTTTAGGTTTATTCCTATTCAGAAATGTTTTATCTGCAACTTTGACAAATGTATTTCTCTCTTAATTATCCTCACTAATGAAGGATATCTGTGAAGTGCAAATGTCATAAATAAATCAACAACTCCATTTTATAAAGTCGTGGGTTCAATCTAATCTCCTCCAATGCTAAACTAATAACAGCTCTGCATTGCAAAGGCTCCAGTCAAGACGGGATGCTAAGGGATCCAGATTTTGTAGTACATTCCTTATCCTGTAGTACATTCCTTACCCTACTTCTTTTCATTATCCACTCAGAATTATCTACAAGCAGGTTTAATTCTTAAAGAATGCCCAAGAGACCACACTTAGAAGGAAAAGACCTATCTTTTTACCTGATTTTTTTTTTTTTTGTAACTATGGTTTATTCTCCTCTTGCCTTTTTCTACTACTTAACTCCCACAACCACCACCATTAAAACTATTTAATCTCTGAAGCTATGATACATGACAAGAAAAGTCCCTTGCAGTTAATATTGGACTGTATGAGAATAAGTAACCAAAAATGGCTAATATGTTAGTAAAGAATATTAATAGATGAGGTGATAATAGCCACAAAAAGCAAAAATCTGCTTTTAGGTTGTTGAAAAGTAGAACATTTGAAAGTCAATGGTAATATTTTAATGATTACTGCAGAAACTTTCCTGGATATAGAATATGTAGGCTTTAACTAGGATTTTTCTAACCTAACAAGACAAGTTATATTCTTTGAAAACTATCCAGCAATACAATTCTTTGTCCTTAGGCAAAAATTGAAATAATGAGCAATTTGTCAATAGATCGTAAAATAATCAATTCTGCCCATATTTTCTCTGCAACTTCTTTGGAACAGTGCAAAAAAAAAGCTTCCAAGGAAATAGGCTGTGATATGAATATTCATTAAAAAAATGTTTAGAAATGCAAGAATCCCTTAGCTAAAAGAAGGCAGGTTTTTTGTTTATTTGGTATGATTAGAAGTAATGTCAGTCTCTATAAAAGAATGTGGAAAAAAAGACGGTTTCGGTGGACAAAATTATTTTCTTTGAAAATGGTTTACATGCCATATGTGAGCCTTAAACTTTACAACAATCTGATTGTAGGAAGAGATTATTTTCTCCATTTTTCATATAAGGAAATTAAGACCCAGAGAAGTTAAATATATTCAAGATTATACAACCAGCAAGTAAAAATTCAGAACCTCATCCTAAGCCTTCAGGACTCTTCATTACGAATCTAAATGTAAGCGTAGACCACAAAAGAAATTATCTAGATTAGAAAATGAGAGAATTAGTTTAGGGAGATGATGTAAAACTCCTTTAAATATTATTAAAAGAACCATAAATGACTTTCATAATAATGGTCATCTCTATTTGAAAAGGTTGGAGGTGAGATATATATATGTATATAGTTTTCCAAAATGGCTAATACATTTCATTTAAAGGATATATTTTAGTTTGTAACTTATTAGGTTGAAAAACTTTATTCCCTATAATATATGCTAAATGGGTTGTTGCTATATTACACTTTACAAAGATTCTAACAAAATCTCGAGCATGAAAAAAATCAAGTGAATGAGTAATGTATGCCATGACAAAATAACTAAAACTGAACCACTCCAAAGGATATTTAAATCAATAATTATCCCTTGGAGTGAGAGGCAGTGCCCTTCCAGGGCATTCTCTTGTAGGGCCAAAATTTTTCACCCAAAAGCAGCAAGCCTCCTGTTCTTGGCCATATCTTATTATTTGGTCATTTACGTATGAAATGAGAACTGTCTTTTAGTGAAAGTAAATTAGAAATTAATGTGGTATGGGAAGAGGAGAAAGAAAAAATTCAGAAATCCTCATGGAAAGTGACTTTGTGTACACTGTGCAAATGTCATTTTTGTCTAGGTGCTAGGCTGCGCTTGGATTAACTCAGATAAATATAAAGTGACCTTATTATGCTTTGGTAGAATCTCCTCGGTACATTAGAAAGAAAACCTTAACACAAATCAATCAGTCAATCCAAATATTACAGAAATTGACTCTTAAGCCATTTTATATCACACCCAAAGTCAAATTTTATGTACCAGACTAACGTAGATGTAAATTTTTTTGTTAACACAAAAGCATTTGAGCAAAAACGTAAGTCCAGATACTTCAAGTCATTGCCCCAAGTTTCTCTTTCTCTAGTTAAAGGTCTTATTAACATTTTCCAAAGAAAAAATTTCAAGCAAATGGATCAAACAAATAGTTAACATAAAATAAAGAAAACACACCTGATTGCATTATCTGCAGATTTTTGTGAAAGTCAAAACAAGTTTTGGCTTCTTTCAAATCAAATGCTCCTCCAAGAGAGCTACATCAGATTTATACATATATTTGAGCTCAGATATCATAGCTGTTATAGATCTTGACTTAGATCTCATCCTTTTCTTGGCACTCTATTTAATCCTTTTCCCATTTCATTATTTCTCTGTTTCGTTCAGAACTGAGGGTTGAACTGGGACCACAGAGGATGAATATGCTCCATGGAGATTCCTTGTCGTCAAGTGTTTGCTAGGGAAAATGGCTGAAGTCCAGAGTGCCAAAACACTTTCAACTTTTCCTCAACTCCCAGAGCTATTCCTCTGTGTTACGTTTACTGCAAATTATGAACACATTATTTCTAATAGATTTGGGGAAATTGTGTACTTCGTGAAGAATTGAATTGAATTGAATTTTTAGTGATATTCTCCATGTTAGTAGGAAAAAAATGGAAAAGCTCAGCATAGAGTATCTGATCCCCTGCAATGGTAATGTATGATGAATTGCTCTTTTAATCTTAGATGTTAAATATCATTAATAGGTCATCAAAAGTGAATATGTTTGAATTATTAGAATAAATCTGAATTATGGTGTGATGGAACAATCTCATAAATTGAATTTGATATGCTAATTTTTTTATTTGGAATTTTGCATATAGGTTTGTAAGTGAAATTGACCAGCAGTAATAATAATAAGTCCCTGGATGGAGTCCCTGGGTTGTACAAACAGTTAACACACTCACCTGCTATCCAAAGATTGGAGGTTGGAGCACACCCAGAGGTACATTGAAAGAAAGGCCTGGTGATCTACTTCTAAAAAATTAGCCAGTGATAACCCTGTGGAACACAATTCTACTCTGACACACATGAGGTCCCAAGTCATAATCAAGTTGACAGTAACTGGTCATTATTAAGTTATTGTGCTATTCACATCCAGTTTTGGTGTCAAGACAATGATAGGCTCATAAAATTAGCTGGAGTTCTCAGAAAAGTACTGCATTTCTATACTCTAGTATTATTTGTTATTTGAAGTTTGAAAAAAGTTGTACATAAACTTGAATGTATCTTGTGACTTTTCCATCGTTAAGCCTTTTACCTTCTTCCCAATGTATCCCAATGTTGCTTTATTTCACATCTTCAATTTTCTTTGTCTCCTTAGGCAGATTTGGTAATTTATGTTTTCTTAGGAAATCAACAAATTCATTTGGAATACTGTGAAGTCAGAAATTATGTTATCATATATTCCCAACCCCTAGTTTTGTACACAGTGTAGAAAAAGAAAATTCATTGCTAGCAGATCTACCCTACGAGAAATACTAAAGGAAGTCTTCAAACTGAAAAAAAAAAGGACATCAGAGAGTAACTTTTTGCAATACAAAGAAAAAAATAACACAAGTAAAGGCAATTACGTAGGTAACCATAAAATACTGCATTAATAGATTTTTTTTCTTTTCTTCTCTAATCTGTTTTGAAAGTCAATTTTATAAAATAATTATGAAATTTTATTTTATTGTGAGCATGTTCAAAATATATTTCAATACAGCATCCAATAGAGTCAACCTGCTAATATGTAACTTGATGATTCTTGGGAAATGGTGTCATTTCAGAGTTTGTGTAATAATTACCCTAATTGGTAGTCATTTATCCTAGACAATATAGTAATTATTTACCTCCTGATTCACTGGTCTAATTATTCTACAGTTGTTGTTGTTGTTAGGTGCCATCGAGTCGGTTCCGACTCATAGGGACCTTATGTACTACAGAAGGAAACACTGCCTGGTCCTGCACCATCCTCAGAATCATTGTTATGCTTGAGCCCATTGTTGCAGCCACTGTGTCAATCCGTCTTGTAGAGGGTCTTCCTCGTTTTTGCTGACCCTGTGCTTTACCAAGCATGACGTCCTTCAGGGACTGATCCCACCTGATAACATGTCCAAAGTATGTAAGACATAGTCTCACCCTCCTTGCTTCTAAGGAGCATTCTGGTTGTACTTCTTCCAAGACAGATTTCATTCTTTTGGCAGTCCATGGTATATTCAATATTCTTCACCAACACCACAGTTCAAAGGCATCAATTCTTCTTCGGTCTTCCTTATTCATTGTCCAGCTTTGGCATGCATATGATGCAGTTGAAAATACCATGGCTTGGGTCAAGCACACCTTAGTCTTCAAGGTAACATCTTTGCTTTTCAACACTTTAAAGAGGTCTTTCACAGCAGATTTGCCCAACCCAATGCATCTTTTGATTTCTTGACTGTTGCTTCCATGGGTGTTGATTGTGGATCCAAGTAAAATGAAATCCTTGACAATTGAATCTTTTCTCCGTTTGTCATGATGTTGCTTATTGGTCCAGTTGTGAAGATTTTTGTTTTATGTTTATATGTTATCCATACTGAAGGCTGTGGTCTTTGATCTTCATCAATAAGTACTTCAAGTCCTCTTCACTTTCGGCAAGCAAGGTTATGTCATCTGCAAATTGTGGGTTGTTAATGAGTCTTCCTCCAATCCTGATGCCCCATTCTTCTTCCTATTCTCCAGCTTCTCAGATTATTTGCTCAGCATACAGATTGAATAGGTATGGTGAAAGTATGC